GGAACGCCAATGAGGAGCCCGTTAAATACTTAGGTATATACCTTGACAGTAAATTCACGTGGAAATACCATATACTCAAAAAACTAAACGAAGGACACACGAGACTAATCCAGCTGTATCCACTTCTAAACCGAAAGTCCGCCTTACTTCCTCAATGCACTATTATCCTGTACAAAGCACTGATACGTCCATTAATCCTCTATGGGTGTGTGGTATGGGGAAACACAGCCAAAACAAATCTTCAAAGACTTCAGATACTCCAGAACAAAATCCTCAGAATTGCATTCAACGCCCCCTGGTTCATCACAAACCAACAACTGCATTACGAACTAGACATCGATACAGTTGAGCAGCATATAGCGAAACTTACTAAAAAATTTCACGCCAACCTCAACAACTGCAGTGGTGCAGCCCACTACACACTGGGACGACGAGGTATCCATGTACGACTCAAGCGTAAACTACCCCAAGATATATTCCTTAGCGACGACAGCGACCAGTGACCAGTTCCAACAAATCCAGTGCTCACAAGTGAACGTAACGTAACATTTAAACATTCTTGCGGTCATACATACCGCTCATGTTAGTTATATACTAAACACATCCTTGTTAACAATGCCTTGTATAACAGTGTAAGTAAATTGTTGAGCAGGCAAAAGCCTAAATAAAAAAAAAAAGAAAGCTGTCACTTAAAATTTTTCAGTTTCGCCAACTTAATATTGACGAAATATAAGTAAAATTACACCAGATTTCGAGGAAATGAAGTGAACTTTTAATTAAAATTGTGGAAAATTTAGGGCTTCTTCCGCAAATTTTTTTATTGAAAACGTTTAATAAGGTGTCTAGCCATTTTTATTAATTTCATGATTGTTTCTGAGGGGCTTATTACCCCTTATCAATTTTGCATACTTATGTAAAGACAAGTTAACCGCTTACTTGCGAGTTTGTATCAAGTTGGTGTTGGTGGATACCAGTTGCCAGTAGAAATTTTAGACTTGCGCCTGAACATACTTCAGATATACTAACCCGTTGCAGTTCGCCCTATTATTTTATTATATAGTGTGTGCAACCCAACAGTTTTGGCACAGACAAGCTCACAGGTCAGTTTAGTGAAGAGCTACAAGCGTGGAAGAATTATGAATCTTCAGCAACATCTGGTCAAGAGTTTTAAATTTGATGAATCCAATAATCGAACGTATGTAATGGTGACGTCGCATTTTACTTATTGGGACATGGGAAACTGTAGCAATCGATAAAGTTCGTACTGGCATTTGCCTATATTTTATTCCTATATACAGAGTGCCCCAATGAGAAGTATACAGAGGGCTTTAGGGTATTAAATTTAGAAATTTCGAAAAATCCTCGAACACGTCAATTTTGTATTCGAGGGGGACAACTTTTGGAATACAAATCCCGAACCCAAGTCTTCACCCCCTCTACGTAGGGAGCTTAACCCCTAAAATTTTAAATGGAATCCTATGGCAAATGGCACATTATTTGAAAGCCAATCTAATCTGCTTTGCTCTTTAAATTGATTCGTTTCAGAGATAAATCGCATTTGAAATGTTTTTTTCTAAAAAAACCAAAGAAATGCGATCTAAGTCATCTTTATTAAAATTTTATTCTGACACTTCAATTTATTTATTATACCTTTCTTGTTCTGGTCCCTCAACAGGCTTGCGCCCAATTACAGAATGACCCGCATAATGCTTTTGTTTGTTTGTTTGTTAAACTTAAGTGAACCTGTCAGTTCTCCGAAACGAATCAATAGAATTTAAAAAGCAAAGCAGATTAGTAATCACGATTAAACTGGCTTTGTAAATAATGCGCCATTTGCCATAGGATTCCATTTAAAATTTTAGGGGTTAAGCTCCCTACGTAGAGGGGTGAAGACTTGGGTTCGTGATTTGTATTCCAAAAGTTGTCCCCCTCGAATACAAAATTGACGTGTTCGAGGATTTTTCGAAATTTCTAAATTTAATACCCTAAAAGCCCTCTGTGTACTTCTCGTTGGGCCACTCTGTATAATAAGCTGATGGATTTGTGTTTGTGTTTGAATTCTCTAAAAATACTGAAGAGGAAAGTCAAGAACCTTGTAACGAGTCCATCAATTTCTTTATTAATTATTAGATTAATACATACTTTAGTAAATGGGTCAAACGTAAGGCCCGTCCATATAATCTTAGCTTTCCTGTTTTGCTGTTCGTGACGCCGCGCTGCCCGCTGGTACCACTCAAACCTGTGACAGTTCGCGAAAGATTGGCATTTTCTGGGAAAATCGTTGTTCGCGGAACAAATTTCCCCCTACGTGAACCGAGCCTGCACAAAGGAAGAAAGGGTACCGATATTATTTTGGTGCCCGGTCTCCGTGTTTGTAAGAAGGGAAAAATTTTTAAATAGTTTGTTTGGACGAAGGAATATACGTTCAATTCCCGGTAAGAGTTACGGCCAGGGTTACGGCGCTTATTTAAAGTTGAACAAATTGTTGTTTATTTATTCCTTTCAGCTACTGTATTTCTTCTCAACGGGCCAACAGTTTCATTAAGCAAATAGTTTTGTTTGATTTACCTTCATATATTATGTCATATATGAGGCGTAGAATTTTATCAAGCACTATCTGGGATATTCAAATACAAAACACGACTCCATTCCCACTACTGTTGCATTTTGTCGCGCAAGAGCGACGCTCGAGTAAAGATACCTGACTATTCCGAGTTAACAATGAAACTATACCTTTACACTTTGACATCCATCTACCTAGCGTTGCAAATTTTGAAATGATTGGTGCACGTCCTAGGAGTACTGAGCAAACTATTGAAACTATTAGGAACGTTTTTCACCAATATTTTAATAGAAATGGTTTGCAAGTAGGTAATCTCAATAGTGGCAACGACTGTTTCCTTCATATAGTAATATAATTGGAATTGATTACTCTTCATATTTCAGCAAACATCAAAATTTTACCGCGGTTAAAAATGTGGCAACATTTGTTTTGCTAAGAAGACATACTTTTCGTCAATTTTTCACCCGTTACGTAGCTCCCCGTTGATCTTGACTTGAGGTACTTCGATTATTAGACATTGCCAATAACCTTTTGAATTCATCATGATATTCCGATCCAAAAGAAATACATGGTAAGACGTCGATGGGAGCCACAAAGTCAAGGTTAAAGGCAATAGATTAGTCATGCACAATTACCGTTGATTAATGAGTGTAGATTAAATAGATTTAAATGTAAAATTTTTTAGTATTAAGAAATAGACCGCTTCTTCATGCGTTAAGCATGCAGGAGCTATGCTTGACCAAGATAAATCTAATGACCGAGAGCTTTTCTACTAATTGCCGTAATTTGTGAACGAAAAAATGAAGGGATGAGTGAAAGTATTTCAAGTTAAAAATCTGACTCCAAGATGTTGTAAAACAAGATTGTTTCACAGTACAATACAGATGTACCATATTTTTTTTAAACTCTAGGACAAACATAAATAAAGAAAGTGAACAATACTCTGTATCAGTAAAAAGGAAAATTGTACTTTTATGTAATTTATATTATTTCAACGAGGTGCGAACCTGCTTTAAATTAGAATTCCGATTGTGAAAATGTCTAAACTGTGTCTATAAAATCTTTGTATTTACATGTCATCGGTTACATCATCAACTTTCTCTTAATACATGTTGATGCGGTGATGCTAACCTAACAAAGGTGAGGAATTCGTAAGTTAACCGCTACCTAAATCTTAAAGAAGTTAAATGTCAACGGTTAATCTTCAACCTTCAGTAGCTATAATTTTAGATTTCAAGTTTAAAATAGTAACTTTACTTGGTTTATTTGCGTACGGTGAGTAATGGTGGCGAAAAACTGACATTTTCGCAATTAAAACCGAGACTTAATTACAGGAAGAAAAGGAAAATTACACTATTAGAATTTATTTGGTGAGAAATTAAAAACGTATAAAAAAGGTGCAATTAACGCGAATTCAGTTTACTTTCTTCAAGCTAAGATGGGAACATCGTTTGCTTTACAACTACTAATTGAACGTTACTTATTAGGTGGTTACGACATTTCTGATTGTTACATGAACTAGGAAATGCTAATTATTTCCTCAACATATAAAGCCCAACGTGTGATGTGCCTTTATTGCCAATTTAACTCGTGGATTATTCATCTCGAGCACTCGACTTTGTCATGCTCGCTGAGTTCTCTCGAAACTAAAATCTAAGGTTAAGTTCTTACATTCAAAGATCGATGTGAAATCTAAATCGTGAACACTTTCTCAAAGAAATTGCACACTTTTTTTCGAATTTCAAGCGGCACGTAATTAATAAGTAGTAATTATTGCCTTAGGCTAATCCGGAAAAAGAAATGGTGGAATATGGTTAACTGAAGGTGCACGAGCGAAAGATTAAATTCAGTTGAAATTATATGCTTGCAATACAGGAACAGGATAATAGTCTCGGAAGTCTGAAGTGCATACACTGGTATTCCGTATTGTACTACTAAAGCCTATCCTCCAAATTCTTCGACGACAATTCTTCGAAAGAAAATTAGTTCTTCGAATGAAACTCTTCGAAAAGGAAAGTTCTTCGAAAATAAAATTCTTCGAAACAAATGCATCGAAAATAAAATTCTTCGAAACAAATTCATCGAAAATATAATTCTTCGAAACAAATTCATCGAAAATATAATTCTTCGAAACAAATTTTTCGAAAATATAATTCTTCGAAACACATTCATGGAAAAGAAAATTAATGGAGGGCGATTGGAAAGTGTTATTCCTAATTAAATAATGACAGTTAAGAGGCATGGGTCATTTAGGGCAATTAGCCTAAAGAATTACATTTAAAAGGTAATTACATACTTTTCAAATTACGCTTATATTTAATATTAACGGCATGTTTCTCCTTCTAAATTTAATGATCCTTAATTAAATCATTCTGTATAAATTCTCAAACGATAGATAATAGGGTTCTAGTTTAATTGAAAACTTCGATTCGTTAAGATGGCTTTACAGTTCATTGAAAGTGAAAAGCGAAAACCAAAATTGTGTGTAAACAATCATATTTATTATAAATACAAGGTGGTGGATGAAACAACATATTGGAAATGTGAAAAATTCCAAATTACAAAGTGCAAAGCTCGAATGAGCACGCAAGGCGAAAGAATTGTGTCCCATGGGAAGAAAGAACACAATCATGTCGCTGATGTTGCGAAAGTGGAGTGTGACAAGATACTAAATAACATAAAAGACACTGCAAGAAATACTCGAGACTCTCCCCATGTGATTGTGTCAGATGCTTCAGTAGGAGTGAGTTTGGCTATCGCAGGAAGGCTACCATCAGTTGACTGCATGAAGAAAACCATTAGAAACGTAAGAGCAAAGGAAAATCCAGGTCCTGTGCTTCCTTTACATCGAAGGGATATTGTTTTTCCTGAATTGTACACTCTGACAGAAAACCAAGAAATATTTTTAATGTTCGATTCCGGTCCTCAGGACGATCGAATTTTGATTTTTTCTACCAGACGAAACTTACAGCTATTGGCACGTTCTAGTCACTGGTATGCTGACGGCACATTTAAGGTATCTCCACCGCTTTTCGCGCAACTATATACCATACATGGACTTAGACACAGCAACAGCATACCTTTAGTATACGCTCTCTTGCCTGATAAAACTCACAATACCTATGTGCGACTTCTTGGACAAATTAAGCAGCTCGAGGCAACTGTTAACCCAGAAACGATATTAATAGACTACGAAAGTGCAATAATCGGTGCCATTGAAAGCGAATTTCCTGGAGTTGTTGTGCGTGGATGCTTTTTTCACTTTTGCCAGTGTATTTTTCGTTCTATCCAGTCAAATGGGTTACAGCAACGATACGAAACTGATGCTGATTTTGCACTCACTATGCGCTACCTGTCAGCACTAGCATTTGTTCCTCTTAACGAGTTAGTGCAATCCTTTGATCTGTTATTGGATAACAACGTCTTTCCACCAGAAGCCCAGCCAGTAATTGATTATTTCGAAGACACCTGGATTGGCCGCCCTGACAGACGACTGCGTCGTCGTGCACCACGATTTGCGCATGTCATGTGGAACTGCTACAACAGTGTACTGGAAAACTTGCCAAAGACTAACAACGCTCTAGAGGGATGGCATCGCGGCTTCCAGGAGATGGTAGGCGGAAATCATCCAAACATATGGAAGTTTGTTAATGCGCTTAAGAAAGAACAGAGCCTCAATGAGTTGAGAATTGAGCAATACCATAGTGGGCAGCAACCGCCAGCTAGCCGAAAGAAGTATCGCGATTGTGCGGAACGAATACGACGTTTAATATTAGATTTTGATCCAGCCAATGACGTAGTGCCATACCTTCGAGGAATTGCCCACAACATTACCTATTAGAATACGTATTTAGTTTGTGAAATGAAAAAAAATATAGAACCAAAAAAGTGTTGTCAACCGCACATAGTGCACGAACTGCCCCAAAACATTGTAAATATTGTAAACAAAAAGCAAAAAAACAACAAAAAAGTATTGACAACCGCACATAGTGCACGAACTGCCCCAAAACATTGTAAATATTGTAAACAAAAAGCAAAAAAACAACAAAAAAGTATTGACAACCGCACATAGTGCACGAACTGCCTGCCCCAAAACATTGTAAATATTGTAAACAAAAAGCAAAAAAACAACAAAAAAGTATTGACAACCGCACATAGTGCACGAACTGCCCCAAAACATTGTAAATATTGTAAACAAAAAGCAAAAAAACAACAACAAAAAAGTATTGACAAGCAAAATTATGGAAGACAGTAGAGCCAACCTCCTCGTGGTGTCTTCTGGGTAACGCCGATAGGCTCTAATGGGTAAATGTTTATTTAAAAAATTAGCCGAAATGAATCATTTTTTTAAGAATGATATTTATGGTTCAAAAAATTTATTTCGAATAATTATATTTTTGGGGAACTTTCCGGTGCAAATAATTTTATTCGAAGAATTTATTTCGAAGAGTTGCATATTCAAAGAACTTTCCGAATCGAAGAACTGTATTCGAAGAATTGTTTTCGAAGAATTTACTTCCGAAGAACTTTCCGAATCGAAGAACTGTATTCGAAGAATTGTTTTCGAAGAATTTACTTCCGAAGAACTTTCCGAATCGAAGAACTGTATTCGAAGAATTGTTTTCGAAGAATTTACTTCCGAAGAACTTTCCGAATCGAAGAACTGTATTCGAAGAATTGTTTTCGAAGAATTTACTTTCGAAGAATCGTTTTCGAAGAATTTTCCTGGGAGAGGTTTGCATGTTTAAACTGCGTGAACATTTTTGTGTCTCAATTTTCGAGACCGTGAGATACCGGCATAAAATATGTATGTCACGCCGTCTTCTAAATAGGTTAACGACGATTGCTATTTAACGGAGGCGGGCAGAAAGCACGGATAAGAATTTGAGTGATTCGCGCATTGTTTAGCGTCGAGCAACCTAAAATGATTATTTGTTTCATAAGTACGAAAAATGCCCGTTTTCGGGACGGAAAAAGGTTTTCTGGACGATGCATATTTTGTACGGATCAAATGCAATTCCTTTCCTTCTACCTCTTTCACATATTATGAAATACCGCCACAGTGCGTGTTTCCTGTATGACAGTTCCATATTTTTTAAGTTAACGTTTATATAGATAATTATTTAACGTAAGATTGAATTTTGAAATCATACATCCGGTGTGAAGACTTTAGAATGAAAGTTTACATCAAGATATTTACTTCATCCTGTTATCTGAACGTGAGGATTTGATTGCATATACACTGTGTCCAAGATAAAGATGTCTATCATGGGGATCTCCGAAACCATAGAACTTTACTTCATCGTGTTCCTATCGGAAAAATTTTCCATCTTCCAGGAAATGAATGCGATAGATATTATCGCACGATTTACTCACGCATTGTGCACGAGTGCACCATTCTGTCGAAACCAACAGTTTCCACCTTCTGTTTTTTTTGTGGCCATATATCGTTGTTCGGATCGTCGAGAGACCAGCTTCAGTGTTACCTCATTATCATATGCAAATCCCCTTCCAGCAAGTTTGTTTGGAAATGGAAACCATAACCCGAGCATGGTCATATTGGACTTTGTAAAGCGTTTTGGCCAACCAGAAGTAGGACGCCACAGTCAATGTGTCTTTTAACCTTCTTCAAAGATGCATTCAAGATATATGCCCGTGAGTTGTATATGTTACAGCCAATCTGTATGATTCAGGTATTCTATACAATTCCTAGGAAATGTATGCAATTCCGAGTCTGTTTAGGAAATGTTTATAATGCCTGCTAATTGTGATAAATTTAGGGTGCATTTTCTTTTAAATCTTAGGGGAAAGGAAACTACTTCTGTCATCAGGGGGCCTGTATAAAAATTGTTCCTCCCCTCAATTATAGACATTTCGTACGACAACATAAAATATGCAAATATACAAAAAATGGAGAAATGTGATTCAATATTTGGAATACTGATGAAATCTAGCATGCCGTGTGCAGTCAGGATGCGCGATGTCTGTTACATGGGTAGGTCGTATCGCCCAAAGTAAACCTTCAAAACGAAACATTAAACAAGTTGATGTAGGTCATAAGTTTTTCTAGTCACACATTTCTTCATTTTACCAACCATATGCATATTTTATGTTATCGTAAAGAAAATCGAATACTATTTTAAAATAGATTGAAAAAACATAGGCATTGCATTCGAAAAACAAAAGTTGCATCGATTTCCGGTTATACCGGAAGTAGCGCCGGTAGTTTCAATTTGCGATCGGATAGATCGTAATGTTACATATCCAATTATATTTAACAATTTTTTTGTATCTCGCCAAATAAAAGAGATATTCAGGTGACTCTCTCATCTAGAACGCGCTGTATACTCCTAAAACTCAGTTGATTTTCATTGAGTAGAATTAACCGACCGAGTCTCTTGTCAAGAGCTTTCTCAATGATGCGGCGCAGAACGGAGCAGATGGATAGTGGACAATAATTTTTGGGATCTTCCTTCGGTCCTTTCTCACGCACCAAACAGACCAAATTCCAATTTGATTGAGAAAACAGTTAAATAAGGGATAAAAAAATTGGTTTTGTTTGCGACCGTGATTATTAAGGATCCTCAGATCCTTTATAGTTTTGTATTGTCGTCCGTCCGTCCGTCCGTCCGTCCGTCCGTCCGTCCGTCCGTCCGTCCGTGTGCGCTCTAACTCTTTTTAAAAGTGGCCGATTGTGTTGAAATTTGGTAAACGGGTACGTTGGACATTAAGAACGGACGCTATTGATTTTCAGGAAGCTGGTTCAACAGGAACAAAAGTTATACGACTTCGAGTGAATCGGGAACAGGAAAAACTGCGAACTCAATATAATAAAAATTAACATATTTCATTCCCTAGGTCATGTATCGAGTTCGGACTTTCGCTAGATTTATTCCCTATGACTCTTAGATGTGTAACAATTCAATATAACTCTTCTCTGTGGTCTCGGTCAAAAGTTTTAGAGCAAAATGTACCCAAAATTATTTTTTACACATGAATTTAGAGTTGTAAAAGCTTTCAAACGCATTATCTTGATGCTGAAAGAGTTGATAACGTGCACGTTTGATAACCGCATGTGTGTGATTCAAAAATGTTAAATTATTTTTCTGAGGCCACATGGATTTTGATCAAAATATGTAAAAATCGTTAATTATGCACCAAGATCGTTGGGAAAAAGACTACGCGCATTATCTCAATGCCCAAGACATGAATTTGTGCATTTTTGGCGACCACGTGGATTTTGATCAAAACATGTCAAAATCGTTATTTATGCACCAAGATCGTTGGGAAAAGACTAGGCGCATTATCTCAATACCCAAGACATGAATTTGATGCATTTTTGGCGACCACGTGGATTTTGATCAAAACATGTCAAAATCGTTATTTATGCACCAAGAGCGTTAGGAAAAAGACTAGGCGCATTATCTCAATGCGCAAGACATGAATTTGATGAATTTTTGGCGAAAACGTGGATTTTGATCAAAACATGTCAAAATCGTTATTTATGCACCAAGATCGTTGGGAAAAAGATCAAGAGCATTATCTCAATGATCTAAACATGAATTTGATCTATTTTTATGGACCACATGGATTTTGATCAAAACATGTCAAAATCGTTATTTATGCACCAAGATCGTTGAGAAAAAAACCAAGAGCATTATCTCAAAGCCCAAGACATGAATTTCATGCATTTTTGTTAACTATAAAATGTATTTTGTAAGATTAAAATAAATTGTCGTTAAAAGTGATTGTAATACTGAGGATCCTTCGATATTTCGTTGTATCGGTTTATTTCTTTAGGCCATTATCAATATGCTCGTGTTAAAAAACAGATTGCCCATGCGCAGACCCAACTTTCTTATTTATGAATGGATTTTTCAAAACTTTTAAGGAAAGACGTACAAAAAATGCGCCGACGTAATTTCATGTTTGTGAACCATAAAATGAATGTGGTAGAAACCTGGAATCAAACAGACATTTTTTCGAAGAACGTTTAAAAGCTTCAATGTTATTGAAGTACTTAAAAAATACACTCCTTCTATAGATATTATGTGGCCAATGTATAATTGTTCCTTGTATGGCACGTGCAGACTTAAATAATACTACATTGATCTCTTCCTCTTCACGGAAAACTAGACTTCGGGACGCACCCCTGTGAAATACCCCAGGTACGAAAATAACGCGAAAGTATGCTTGTATTCCTACATATCCTACATATTAACCTTCGCATCGTAACTAATTATTTAAATAATAAATAAACGAGACCTAGGTCCAGAGTTTACACCAGCTGTAAATACACCGTCACTCATCACCGTGTACCCGAACACTAAGGGCGAAATAAAACCCGTGGACAGTGGAAGATGCTAGCCGTCGGGTCGCCGTTTGTTTACTTGTTGTATCTGCCGCGCAGGTGGCCCGGGTTCGATTCTCGGTCGATGCAGATTTTTTTGTATTTTAGCATTTCTAGAATTCTAGGGGTGGAGGGAAACTTAATCCAGGAATGAAATTCGTATGCTGTCCATGACCCCTTATCTTATCATAGTATATTATACGATTTCAGGTGGAATTTCATTCAATTCACGACGAAATTTTGTAGGACAAGTGGAGTGCGCATCTCCAAACAATATACCAAAGTTTCAGAAACGTTGCATTTTTTACAAGTTCCAACTCACATACCGAAAGGACTTAAAATACGAATTTTGCTAAAACTTACTGGCGCGAATCTATCGGAGGTGAATCTTACGGGGGCATTCTTCCAAGGGCGAATTTTGCGGTACGAATATTCCCGGTACGAATCTTCCGAAGGCAAATTTACCTGGGGGCGAGTTTTTACAAGCTGAATTTTTGGTGTCAAATTTATCGAGTTTAACTTGAACCGTTATACCTGTATTAGCGATGGAACACTCTGTAATGGATTTCATTTTTTTGTTTTTAGGCGTAAATGCTAATTTTTAGGCTAAACGTAAATCCAATCATATTATTTGAATTCGAGGTGGATTTTATTTTGTATCAGAATTACTTATGTAAATATTGTTTAAATAATAGCCTTTTTTTGTTTTGATTGATGTTGTGTTACTCGTTAAGGAAGGAACCCCTGGAAATATTTGTGTATTATTTGTAATTGTTATCTCCGGACGTAGATAAGCAGTTTCGTTATAGCTGTGTAGCTAATTAGTTCCAAAATAAGCACGTGGTATCACCGTTAAGAAAACACAGGTGGAGTTTAATATT